AGAGCAGGGCTCTGTGGCTTGTTCATCTTTGTGTCTTCCATTGTGGTGGGCACAGGGTCTTCCCCAGGGGCTGCCCCGTCCCTGCTGAATGGATCATGAATGCTGGTTCTCAAAGTGTTGGTCCCCAGACCTTCAGTATCACTTGAGAGCTCCAACCCCATCCAGAGCTCCTGAAGCAGACGCTGGGGTGGGGGGACCCAGACACCCATGTCCTCTAGGTGACTCTGGGCATGCTCATCCTCGACTCTGGGACAGGAAGAGGACTGAGTAGTACTTAGGCGCGTCTCAGCCCTCCTCAGGACTTCCATGGCCTTTTAGATGGTTGGCTTGGAGCCAGCTAGGATGCGTCATTGAAGGGGCTGTCCTTGGTACCATCTCCCCTTCCGGCTAGCAGGGTCTGTCTGCACGGGCCTCCTGGGGTGGGCGGTAGCATCTTCACTCTGAGGGTAGGTCACCTCGGGAAGATTCTGGGGAACAAGACTGGGCAAGAGCCGTTTCCCTTCCTGCCTGCCCACCTTTGGCCAAGCCTCTTCCTGACATAGGGAAGTTCTTTCTTTGTAGGGAAATGTTTCCCCAACAAGAGGTCAAGGCCAAGAGCAGTTTGGGTGAGAAAAGAGGAGAGAAAGGAGAGAGATACCTGCAGGGCAGCGCATTGCAGAAGCATTCAGACCCGCCTCTGAGTACCAAAACATCTACTCGTTCCAGCATTCCTAATGCCCAGTTTACTTTAATGTCACAGTTAATTTGTCATTAGATTTGATTGAAATTTTCATGGACTGCGTTATTAAGCAAAATAAAGGTGGACTATGATGACCATGATTTGCTGAAATAAGAATAACGGGAATACAAAATAAGGAATCTGTGCATTTTTGAAATCCGTCCCTTGTTTTCATGATTGCCTGCTTGGCAGTGGGTTGTGGAAGCGCAGGAAGGAGACTTGTCTCTGGACACACCTTGGGGATATAGCCTGAAACCAAGGCTTGGGGAGACAGTTTTCTGAAGCTGGCCTCGAGAACCAGCCCTCCCTTCTCTCAGGCTGCTGAGGCCTGGGAGAAAACTCCTCAGCCCCAGCTGATCTTCATCTAGCCTTTGTTTTTTTAATCCATCACACTGCTAATTTTTTAGAGTTCAGGAAGCTGTTTTTGTACAGGGTGCCTTTAAAAAAAACAAACAAACAAACAATCTTGGTTTTCCCCACTCATAATTACATTAAATATTTTTGACAGGATTTTTTTTTAACCCAGGCTGGGGTGCAGTGTTATGATCATAACTCAATGCAGCCCCAACCTCCCAGGCTCAAGCGATCCTCCTGCTTCAGCCCCTGAAGTAGCTGGGAATATAGGCATGTGCCACCATGCCTGGTTAGTTTTGTTTTTTTATTTTTCGAAGAGGCAAGGTCATGCCATGTTGCCCAGGCTGGTCTCGAACTCCTGAGCTCAAGCAGTCTTCCCACCTTGGCTTCCCAAAGTGCTGGGATTACAGATGTGAGCCACTATGCCCTGGCCAGGAATCTTACATGGATAATGTATCCTTAGAAGTTACACATTTTGAAAAGGAGAAACAGTCTGGGCATAGTGGCTTAGGCCTGTAATCCCAGCACTTTGGGAGGCCAAGGCGGGTGGATCACTTGGGGTCAGGAGTTTGAGACCAGTCTGGCCAACATGATAAAATTCCATCTCTACTAAAATACAAAATCTAGCTAGGGGTGGTGGCGTGCACCTGTAATACCAGCTACACGAGAGGCCGAGGCAGGAGAATCACTTGAGCCAGGAAAACAGAGGTTGCAGTGAGCTGAGATTGCACCACTGCACTCCAGCCTGGTGACAAAGCAAGACTTCATCTCAAAAAAAAAGAAAAGGAGAAAGAGAAGAGGGATTATTGTTGGGAAAATTTGGTGTACCCCTGTCCTCTCCAGGGTCCTCCACATCATTCCTGCCCCGATCCTTCTGCTGAGTCGTGTTTCCCTCGAGACTGGTGGGGACCTCAGCCCTCGCCTTAACCATAGGCCGGGCTCCTTCTTTTGCCGGGGACTTCTTCCCAGACTGTGACTGGGGTCTATGCCCTGGCAGCCAGGGAAGGGGGTGTGTGCTAGATTTACTTTGAGCCACCTGGGAGCCCTCTGATCCAGAGGTCACAACCGAAGGTCCACGGGCCCGACTTTGCTGGCAGAAGAGTTTGTTGGGCCTACATGAGGTTATTGCTTTTATTATTATTGTATTTAACCTTGAATTAATTGCCAGTACTGAAAAATGGAGACACTTGGCTAGGCGTGGTGGCTCACTCCTGTAATCCCAGCACTTTGGGAGGCCAAGGTGGGCAGATCACCTGAGGTTGGGAGTTTGAGACCAGCCTGGCCAACATGAAGAAATCCTGTCTCTACTAAAAATACAAAATTAGCAGGCTGTGGTGGTGCATGCCTGTAATCCCAGCTTCTTGGGAAGCTGAGGCGGGAGAATTGCTTGAACTCGGGAGGCAGAGGTTGCAATGAGCTGAGATTGCACCGCTGCACTCCAGCCTGGGCAACAAGAGCAAGACTCCATCTCAAAAAAAAAAAAAAAAAAAAAAAAAAAAAAAGAATAAGAAAAAAGCAGACACTTTGCATAAAAATTTCAATTTTCAGCCTCCCTTGAGTTGTCATACTGTCCAACCACACCAGACTCCTCAGAAGGGCTTGACAACAGTTGGCAAGAGCTGAGCAGATTCTGCCACTTGGACACATCTCCATAGTCTCTGACCCTTGCCCAAAGCAGAGGCTGTCCACCCTCCCATCCCAGCTTCAGTTTCTGTGACACTTGGGCACCTCACTGGCTTGCACGCCCTGCCTAGCAGTGGAGTTTGTGTCCTGGGCCCAAAAACCTCAGGGCTGTGCCATTTTTTAACATGACATTTTCAACTTAGGCAGGCGCTTGGGCTGCAAGAAGGGGTTAAAAACTCATAAGGCTCAGGCCTTGTTCCCCCAGAGGAAGCAAATTAGCCCACTTCCTAGGAGTGGGGGGAATCTGGGGCCTGAAGCCACCTCCACACAGTGGGGAAAAGCCAGGGAGCATTGCAGACCTGCTCGGACAGAAAAGTTGGAGACAACCCGGAAATTTCCGTGCTTCATTCTCCTTAGCTAGGGCCAGCCTTCCACGTGCAGCCCAGATTATAATTTTAAGCTGTATTTGTTCATATGATATACATCATGACATAAAATTTGCAAGGTAACCTCTCACTCCTGACCCTTACCTACACAGTTCCTTTCCTTGGGAGCAAATGATGTTATCAGTTTCCAGAAGTATTCTATATGCAAATAACCAAATGCATATTATACAGGTGACCTTTGAACAACATGGGGGCTAGGGGTGCCCCCTCCCCATCCATAGTCCAAAATTGGCATATAACTTTGGGCTCTCCCAGAATTTAACTGCCAATAGCCTCTTGTTGACTGGAAGCCCTACTGATAATTTAATAATTTATCACATAATTCTACACGTAATTTGCATGTTATATGTATTATATGCTGTATTTTTACAGTAATGTAAGCTAGAGAAAATAAAATGTTATTAAGATAGTTATAAAGAAGAGAAATATCTTTTTTTTTTTTTTTTTTTTTTTTTTTTTTTTTTTTTTTTTTTTTTTTGGTTTGTTTTGTTTTGAGATGGAGTCTTGCTGTATCTCCAGGCTGGAGTGCAGTGGCACAATCTCGGCTCACTGCAACCTCTGCCTCCTGGGATCAAGCGATTCTTCTGTCTTAGCTTCCTGAGCAGCTGGTACTACAGGCGTGCGCCACCATGCCCAGCTAATTTTTTGTGTAATTTTAGTAGAGACAGGGTTTCACCATGTTGGCCAGAATGGTCTTGATCTCTTAACCTCGTGATCCGCCTGCCTTGGCCTCTCAAAGTGCTGGAATTACAGGCATAAGCCACCGCGCCCGGCCAAAGAAGAGAAATATCTTTACTATTCTTTAAGTGGAAGTGGATCGTCATCAGGGTCTTCATTGTCAGCATCTTGACGTTGAATGGGCGAAGGAGGAGTATGAAGAAAAGGGGCTTGTCTTGTCTCGGGTCACAGAGGCAGAAGAAAATCAACGTATAAGTGAACCCCTGCAGTTCAAACCTGTGTTGTTCAAGGGTCAACTGTGTATCTCTTTTTAAAAAGGAACTGTGATACTCTTTGCTTGCTTTTCTGTTTGTTTTCTGAGATGGTGTTTCACTCTTGTTGCCCAGGCTGGAGTGCAGTGGCACAGTCTCGGCTCACTGCAACTTCTGCCTCCCAGGCTCAAGTGATTTTTCTGCCTCGGCCTCCCAAGTAACTAGGATTACAGGCACCCACCACCACACCCAGCTAATTTTTGTATTTTTAATAGAGACAGGATTTTGCCATGTTGGCCAGGCTGCTCTCGAACTCCTGACCTCAGGTGATCCACCAGCCTTGGCCTCCCAAACTGCTGGGATTACAGGCATGAGCCACCACACCCGGCCTTTGTTTGCTTTTTTATTTTAACCCTCACCTAATCGTATACGCTAGCACGCTTTCCTTATATAATTTAAGAACTTTATCACTGTCTTCTTTGTGATTCCCATAGATGTCTGTCAGTCTCATGCTTTGTTTAGTCATTCCTCTACTGATGGACATTGGAGTTGTTTTCTAGCCTTGAGCTGCCATAAACAGTGCTGTAGTGAAAAAGTGTGTATGGACGTCACTGCACCCGTGCAACTGTATCTGTAAGGTAGACCCTTAATGCCGTTGCTGGGTCAAAGGCACTGGATGTTTGCAGTTTGATCCTATGAAACTGCCCTCTAGAGAGGTTGTACTCGTTCACAGCCCCTCTGGAATGGGGATGAGCCCCTGTTGCCCCTCAGGTGAAATGCGGGCCCTGGGAGCATGGGAAGATCCCTGTGCGTGTTCTGTCAATAGGGAGGCTGCTCTAGTGCCATTGGTGCCATGTCCCCCAGGAGCAAAGCCTTCCTTGCTCTTCCAGTCTCCAACAGAGTCATTCTTTCTTGTTCTGTGCCCTCCAGATAAACTGTGTGACCTTCCCTCACCCGGACACAATGCCAGAACAGCAACTGCTGAAACCAACGGAATGGAGCTACTGCGACTACTTCTGGGTAAGCAGTGCCTCGGGTTCCCCCACACCGTGACCCCGATGACGAGGAGTGGACACCCAGGATGGGCAGAGGGACCTGGATCTCAGAGTGGAGGGGCCTTTCTTGTGGAAGCCTGAAGGGCTGGTGTTAGATTTCGCATCTGAGACAGGAACTTGGGACCCTCTTGGAGTCCAGATCATTCCATGCGCCTCAGGGATTCAGCAGGACTTTGGTTCACATTAGAGACACTTCACCCGGAATGTGGGTTAGCCAACGTCCATCTCTAGCCAACTAGAATCCGCCTCCGTGCATGAACGTGGGCTGCATACCTGCTTGTCACTTCCACGTGAGGGACCCTGGACAAGTACTTCACCTCCTTGGGCCGGACTATACTCATCAGAATTGTGAGGAGGTTGGTCACAGGATCTTCAGAGAGCTCCAGCTGGGATAATCCTGTAGTTTTAAAACTTTTGCAGATTGCTTAGCGAACACAGAGTTTGGGTTTTGCGAGATTGAAAAAAGTTCTGTGGGTGGATGGAGGCGATGGTAGCAGAACAATGTGAATGAACTTAACGCCATTGAACTGTGTACTTAAAAATGGCCAGAATGGTTAGTTGTATGCTAGCTGTATTTTTTTCACAATTCATATAAATACATTTTTAGAAATGTAGAGTCCCGCACCTCAGAACATTCTGGGAATGGTCCTGAGCATTTGCATGTGAAAGTCACAGTGACTTTCAAGATTAGATCACCCCTTTCTGGAATCAGATTCTGGGGATGGTCACACAACCCTGTGAATGTATTAAAAACCACTAAATGGTACACTTCAAAAAAAAAAGTGTCCAAAGACCCCAAGGAACAATAAGTAAGTAAAAGCTTGTTTTCATCACTGTGCAGAATAGATTATCTACATTTTTGTTTGTTTTTTGAGATGGAATCTCACTCTGTCTCACCCGGGCTGGAGTACATGGTGTAATCTTGGCTCACTGCAGCCTCTGCCGCCTCCTGGGTTCAAGGGAGTCTCCTGTCTCAGCCTCCTGAGTAGCCGGGGCTATAGGTGTGTGCCACCACACCCAGCTAATTTTTTGGATTTTGTTTGTTTTTGTTTTTTCAGTAGAGACAGGGTTTGACCGTGTTGTCCTGGCTGGTCTTGAACTCCTGACCTCAGGTGATCCACCCGCCTTGGCCTCCCAAAGTGCTGGGATTACAGGCGTGAGCTACAGCCCATCTGGATTATCTACACTTTCTTAGATTTGCTAACTGAATACTAGACAAAAGTTCTTTTTTCTTTCTGCAAAATCACTTGTACCTTAGAAGACATACAAAGATCCCTGTTGCCTCCACCTCTCACCAAAGGACAATTTCTGTAGCTCCAACTCTGCTGTGTCCAAGGTAGAGAGATCTGTGCACAGGTTAAGGAAACAGTATAAAGGGGCTTATCTTTGGCATCAGACAGACCCAGGCAGGTGAGCTCAGAGTTACGGGGTGAGCAAGCATCAGAGTGTGCAAGACTTTCTCGGTCCCAGTAAGTGAGTTTTATTCTTCTTGCAGAAGGTGGATGATCTGATTCGCAGGCATTGTGCAGGCAGGGTGGGAAGTTGACAGGTGAGTGGAAGAGACCAGGAAAGGTGGTGGTGGTGGTGGCCGAGCAGGAGAGATGTTGCTGGATTTGGAAACATCATCCCTCAAGATGGGTGCAGTAAATGGAGCATTCAGGGAGAGTGGTTTGAGCCCCAGAAATGGGTACCCTGGGAGCTGGAGGGTCAGCGTGTGAGGTCTCAAGCCTTGGAAAGCTGGAAGGAATGTGTGATGCTGCCCGCAGCATCCGGAGGGCAACACTTGCGAGTTCTTATCTTAACTCAAGCTCTCTGGGGACTCTGATTCTTAATCTGCAATCCACTTATCTCCCTGACCATCCAAGGCCTTTTCCACTAATAGAAATTTCTCTCTCCTGACACAGCCATTAAAGCCTGTTTCTTCTGGCTGGCTTTCCCAAGAGTGCCTGGAGAGCTCAGTGTATTCATTCTAGAAGGGAGGCAGATTTGAGCTATTTGGGTAATTTCCCTTTTGCTTTTTCATCAAGATGTAACATTCACAGAGTGAAGTGCAGTGATCTTCAGTGGACATTGCTTTTAAACTGCAAGAGCAGCCCCACTGTGACCCCGTGGGACGGTGATCTCCCTGTCAGCAGGGATGTTAGCAGTGTGTCCAGTGGGGTTTGAGTTATGGTACACGAGGGACGTGTCCCACCCTGGGGGAGGATGGGAAGGGGTCCATAAAATCCTTCATCTACTTGATGATGGTAAAATGGGGTTCCCTGCAGGCATCAACCACCCCTTTTCTTTCCCCTCTCCTAAGATGTCTGATCTGGATGGGACCTGGGAGGTGCAGCCCGCTCCTATTTCAAGGGGCTGATCTTAGGATTAGACGGTCCTGGACTTGCCACCCTGTGGCTGAGCAGACACAAGAACCTGAGTCCTACCAGATGCTGGGACACTGTTCCCACCATTGCACCTCTCCCTCTGGGATATCAAAAACCTGTTCTGAATACCTTCCATTAAGTCCCAAAGTTTGACCCTGGGTTCCCGATAGGGAAAAGCTGTGAGGAGGAGGAGACTTTTAGGCATGGTGATGGCCAGTGCCTGGGATGGCCCTAGGTGCTGGTGCTGCAGCAGCCACGGCTGTGCAGGGCCATGTGTGGCTGAACCTCAGACAGAGGAATGGCAGGAAAGGGGCATTCAGGTATGCTTGAAGAAATGCAAGTAAAACAAAATCATTTAATTTTGAAATTTCAAGAATATTTGCAAAATTAATTGGGTCCTAAGTATTTATTTAATTGACTTACACATCTTCCCCAAGTTCCGACTTTTATTTAAAAGTAACTAATAATACATTTATTGAACACATTTTATGTGCTCAGCCATATATACACATAAATAGATGTCATTTACCCTGAAATGACCATTTGAGAGTAGGGCTGTTACTTACTCAGTTTTGCAGATGAGGAAGCTTAGGCCTGGAGTGAGTGAAGAACTTGGCCGAGGTCACCCAGCCAGTATTTCAGGGCAACCTGTCCTGTTCTCTTCTCTGGCTTCCCTTCAGCCCGCTTTCTGCCTATGATTTTTTCTTCTTTCCTGTGATCTGTTATGAATGTGTTGGTTAGAGGATGTCACTGCCCTGCCAGTGTACGCAGCTGGTAGAAGACAGGGTGGCTTAAGGCTGGGGGCACCGGCTCCTGAGCTTGGAGCCACACACACAGTCCAGCTTGGGGTCAGAACACCAGGATTCACTGAGGGTCAAGCCAGTCTCTGCAGCCACCTGGTTGGAAGTCGTAGGCTGTTAGGCATCGCAGCTGCTGCTCTCGAACACTTGCCCTTCTTCCTCTTGGTTCCCAGGTTAGGGGAGTTAAGGGGCTTGGATGTGGGGATGCGGTAACCATAAGAGCCTGAGCATGAGAACGTGCTGTTGGGAGTGGGGGCACCAGGAGAGAGTTCCAAGTTAGGGCAGCAGAGACTGCGGCTCCCATCCCTCCTCTTGTGCTGAGCTGGGGTTGTCAGGCACAACTGGGAGCTGTCCTCCCCCCAGGCCATTCTCCCTGGCTCCAGACGCAGATGTGCCCTAAACTCTTGTGCTCTGCTTCCTTTGTAGGCTGATAAGAAGGACCCCCAAGGCAACGGCACTGTGGCTGGCTTTGAACTACTGCTCCAGAAACAGCTGAAGGGCAAACAGATGCAGAAGGAGATGTCAGAATTCATCCGGGAAAGGTGAAGCCTGGGCCCCTCTCAGCCCTGGGGCCTGGCACCAGTGTTCCCCATGGCCAAGGGGTGACGGCAGCAGGACTCAGCCCTGCACATTCAGCATTGGGCTGGTTAGCGTCGGGTCGCAAACCCCTGGGCCCTGGGATAGATCTGGCCAGCAGATGTGTAGCTTTAGCTGACAGAGTGTTTTGAAAGATTTGAACCAACACTTAATTGGTAGATTTCATATTAAAATCTGGATATTTAGCACATCTTGAAAGAGCAGAAGCGTTGGCAGGATTGACTCCACATCCCTCATTCGACAATTGGTTGGAGCTGAATAGCAGCTACTCTTGTAGAGGGGTGTGTGTTTCCATTTTGCCACAGTCTCCACCACTCCCAACTGTCTTCCCCTGCAGACTTCTTCACTCCTTTACTTACATACCTGGCCATTATTTGAAGCACTGCCCTTGACCATAACCAATGGGGGGAATGTGACAGTTCAATTCATCGTTAGCTAAAACTGTGTCTGGGGCATAAGATGCAGAACCCTCCTCCTACCCCATCCCTGCCTCAGGGATTCGAACAGTGTTTTATCTACAGAGGCTGGGAACACAGATTAAGAAACAATAAATTTAGCCCAATGGAAATGGAGAAATCTACAAAGAGAAAGAGAAGTTCCTTCTCTATCTCCCTCTCCTCTCCCCTCCCTCCTTCCCTTCCTCCCTCACTTGCTCCCTCTCTATCTCCCCTGCCGCCAGTTCTGAGGCTCTGTTTAGCACACACGTACCCACATATCTGCACATACCCACTTATCACACATGTATGCACACGCACACACACACATACACACACACCTTTCCATCTTGAGTTTCCAGTGCATACTGGAAATATAGTGAATTGTAATATCTTTTAAAAATATTTCTTTTTTAATTACAGCCATAATCAAGTAATAATGCTTTGGCCTTTTTTTTTTTTTTTTTTCTGAGACAGAGTCTTGCTCTTGTCGCCCAGGCTGGAGTGCAGTGGCACGATCTCAGCTCACTGCAACCTCCGCCTCCTGGGTTCAAGCAGTTCTCCTGCCTCAGCCTCCTGAGTAACTGGGATCGCAGATGCACGCCATCATGCCAGGCGAATTTTTGTATTTTTAGTAGAGATGGGGTTTCACCATGTTGCCCAGGCTGGTCTTGAACTCCTGACCTCATGATTCACCTGCCTTGGCCTCCCAAAGTGCTGGGATTACAGGCGTGAGCCACTGCGCCTGGCAGGTTTGGCATTTTAAAGCACCCCTTTCCTTTAGAGGGCCTATCGTCAGATGAGATCGGACGTGTTCAGGGTGGTATGGCCATAGACAGAGGGCCTATTTTCAATTTGTATAATCAAATCCTTGTTTTATGACCCATTAAACTGGTGGGAAATCGAGAGGTTGCATAGCTCGGGTGTGAGGAAACAATGGTATAAAACAGGCAGATAGGAAAATGGCCCGTAAGAGCCAGAGCTTGAACACGCTTCTGGTTTACATTTCCGTAACAACATCTTGTTAGCCAATAAATGGAAACTGCCATTTCAGGGCGTTCTGGGCTTCCTAGGGAAAATGCACACACCTGTAACTTTTCTCGATCCACCTTGGGATCTTGCAGAGAAGGCCTTTTAGTGCCAGGAGAGGTGAGATCCGAGGCTCAGGATTGGGAGCTGGCCTGGCTCAAGGACAAGTGCTGGCTCGTCTGCTGGGGCCTTGGTTTCGGGAAGTGGGGCAGACATGGAGGTGACGCACGCTTTGGGCCCGGAGGTGAGACACAGGAGGCAGACGGCGTATGCATCTTCCGTGTCTGGTGTGTGCGGTCGGCACTGAGGAGCCGGGAACGTGGCATGGGTAGATGTACTTTCTAGAGATACCTCTTGGCCACAGTCTGGAGGTGAAGGGAGGGGCAATGGAGAGGAAGTGACAGAGGGGATCAGTCGGAATTAGACCCTGGAGGACCTGGAGACCAGCAGAAGGTGAAGGTGAGAGGAAGGCAGTGCAAAAAGGAACGAGACTGTGAGTCTCTTGATGCCAAGGCATGCAAATATTATTACTCGGAACACTGCCGCCAGACTTTGTCAGCTGCCCTCTCTCCATCATGGCACACTTTGGGTGCAGCTGCTTGAGCGGCTGGGAAGCAAAGGCTGTGGTCCCAGCGTCTCTGGAGCTTCTCTGTTCGCCGTGTGATGGACGGGGGGCTCTCTGATGCCTGGGCTCTGGCCAGCTCTGGTTGGTATAAGCATAGCTCCTCTGTCTCCCACTGTGGCCCAGAGGACCACTTAGGTGGTAAACAATACCTCTGACGATGTGCTTAACACTGACCTGCCACATAATACAGGACACTCGCTGGCAAGTTGCTTTGCAAATGTGTCAAGGGCCTGCCTGGAAGCTACATCCAAGGCACCTTTCCTCTCCAGGGAAATAGAATCTACCTACTGCCCTGGGCATTGCCAGATTTCCATGGAAATACTTGTACCCAGCAGGCTTGACAATCAGGCATTGGAGGGTGTGAGACGGTAGGGAGATCCTCTGTTCCTGCTGCCGAGGGCCCGAGGCCACCTGGGAGTTCTGGGGCTGGAAGGGAGAGGGAAGAGCACTGGGTATTGCTGGTGGTCCATCATGAGTTGCAAGCATTCATTTCTTTCTTCTTTCATTCATTCATTTATCCATTCAGGGCTCTCTCATGTTTCCCACTCTGTGCTAGGAACTATGTAAATGGCAGTTCTCGTCTTCACAGCCCTAGGAGACAGGAGAAAATATTGCAGATGAGGAGATGGAGGGCCAAAGAGTTTGGTTCATTCATGTATCCAGCAAGTATTTATTAAGCACCGACTGCATGTCAGGTGGACAGGCAAGAGTCATGTAGTCTCAGAGCTTATGGCCTAGTGGGTTCCTTTCCACGGCTGAGGTGTGCAAGGCAGCAGGGCAGACCTACAACCTGGAACTGGAGAGCTGATGTGTATTGGGTTTTCTTTCTTTGCAGGATAAAGATTGAAGAAGACTATGCGAAGAACTTGGCGAAGCTCTCTCAGAACTCCTTGGCTTCACAGGAGGAAGGGTGAGTGGATAGGAGAGAAGTAGGAATGGGGAGGATGAGGGGGGTGTCACTGAGGAAGGGGGGATCAGCCACTCATCTTTGATCACTGGCATGGCCCCACTTTGGATGGGGAGATCTCCGTAGGCCTGGCTCAAAGTGCGCACTCACGGCTCAATCGGCGCCCATGACTTAAGGTGTGTGCCCGTTGCCCAAGCTGGGCACCCATGACTCAAGGTGTAGGCATCCACACTCAAAGGGGCACTTCAGCTGGGTGCAGTGGCTCATGCCCATAATCCCAGCACTTTCAGAGGCTGAGGCGGGTGGATCACAAGGTCAGGAGTTCGAAACCAGCCTGGCCAACATAGTGAAACCACATCTCTACTAAAAATACAAAAATTCGCCGGGCATCGTGGCAGGTGCCTATAGTCCCAGCTACTCAGGAGGCTGAGGCAGGAGAATAGCTTGAACTAGGAGGCAGAGGTTGCAGTGAGCCGAGACCATGCCATTGCACTCCAGCCTGGGTGACAGAGCAAGAGTCTGTCTCAAAAAAAAAAAAAAAAAAAGGCACTTCCACATTGTCTTCTCTGTAGTGACCCAGGGCCACCTTCTAGAGGCTGGAGTATGTCAGAATCCTCTCTGGTCTGACTGCTGGTAGCTGGGCAGCAGCCCCTAGATGGCCACTCCAGCTCCCCTTTCTTTAGGGCCAGGCTGGGAGGAAGCTGGGTATGAGAGGGTGTTGTTTAGATCTCTCTCCCGTGGGCTTGAGGCATAGGCTCCCCTTCCCACTGATGCTGTGACTATCCAGACCTCCTTGAGCGGGACCTGGGCACTACCAGGTTTCAATTTGTGTAATCAAATCCTTATTTTATGACCCATTAAACTGGTGGGTAATTGAGAGGTTGCATAGCTCAAGTGTGAGGAAACAATGGTATAAAGAGAGAAGCTTGGAGAAGCTTAACGCGACCCTCCCAGCCACAGAAGGATTCCTAGTGTGTAAAATGTGAGCGCATGTGCACCCCTGTGGGGAATGGAAAATGGTACAGCTGCTGTGGAAAACAGTCTGGTTGTTTCTCAAAAAGCTAAACATGGAATTACCATATGACCCAGCAATTCCATTCCTAGGTTGAAACCCAAAAGAATTGAGTACAGGCACTCAAAGTAATACATTTATACACACGTACAGAGCAGCAATATTTATAATAGCCAAAACATGGAAACAACCCACATTCCACCCGGGGATGAGTGGATAAACAAATGTTGGGGTATGCACAATGGCTATCCATGGATAGATGATGGAATATTATTCAGCCATGAAAAGGAATGGAATACTAATACATGCTCCTGTGTGGATAAGCCTCGAAAACATTCTGCAAAGTGAAAGAAGCCGGGCACAAAAGGTCTTATGGTGTATAATTCCATTTACATGAAAAGTCCAGAACAGGCAAGCCTGTGGAAATGGAAAGTAGATTGTCATTTGCCAGGGGCTGGGGGAGGAGGGAATGGGTTGTGACTGCTTGGCGGGTACTGGGTTTCCTTTTGGAGTGTGTATTCATCTGCTTGGGCAACCACAACAAGATGTCCCAGACTGGGTGGCTGAAACTACAGGAATTTATTTTTTTGTGACTCTGGAGGCTGGGAAGTCCAAGATCAAGGTGCCAGCCAGCAGGGTTGGTGTCTAGTAAGGACTCTTCCATTGGATTGCAGATGGTCACCTCCTCATTGTGTGTTCATGGAGCCTTTCCTTTGTGTGTGCTCAAAGAGAGCAAGAGCTCTGTGATGTCTGTTTTTTTTTTCTTTGTTTGTTTTGTTTTTTTGGGAGATGGAGCCTTGCTCTGTTGCCCAGGCTGGAGTACAATGACCTGATCTCGGCTCACTGCAACCTCCTCCTCCCAAGTAGCTGGGACTACAGATGTGTGCTACCCGGCTAATTTTTTGTATTTCTAGTAGAGACAGGGTTTCGCCATGTTGGTCAGGCTGGTCTTGAACTCCTGACCTCAGGCAATCGCGCTGCCTCGGCCTCCCAAACTGCTGGAATTACAGGTGTGAGCCACCGCGACCAGCTGATGTCTATTTTTATAAGGACACTAATCCTATCAGATCAGGGCTGCACCCTGTTGACCTCATTTAATCTCAGTTACTTCCTTAAAGGCCCCGTTGCCAAATGCAGCCACATGGTAGGGGTTAGGGTTTCCACATAAGAATTTTGGCAGGACACAAACCTTCAATCCGTAATAGCATGACGAAAATGTTTTGGAGCTAGATAGAGGTGGTAGTGGCACTCACAAAACAGGTGTTTGATTTGGTCTTGTCCTAAATGTGCCTAGATTTTTCACTTTTTAATGGTTAATTTTATGTTATGTGAATTTGACCTCAATAAAATATGTATATATATATATATATATATATATATATATATATATACATATACACACACACACACACACACATATATATATATACACACACATATACACACACACACACATATATATAAAGACTCTCAGGAGGCTAGAGGTGAAAAATTCCCCAGAGGTCCTCTCCGTTCCGACCTCCCTCTGGTGCTGGTCTGTGTTTGAATTCCTCCTCCAAGGGGGAGTGAACCCCCAGGGAAGGAAGACCTTCTGTTGTGGGTTGGTTGTAGCTGTCAGTGAGCCGTGATGTTGATCCAGTCCAAATCTGCCTTTATGGCTTGAAATCCTTCAGGGGACCGAGATTTTGCCAACCTAAATGTGGCTTTGATTAAGCCGTCCACATGGGCTGGCTGTGTAGCCAGGCAGCCTCCTTTGAATGGTTCTCACCCTCCCCACCAGCCACAGACCACAGGGTGGCCCAGCAAGGCCAGCGTCCCTTCCACAGATGTAAATGAGGTTCGTTCATTCCTGGCCGCCTCCTGGTCTGTGTACGGGGCTTGAGATAGGGGCAGGAAGGGGGCACGTAGAGGAGCAGCCATCACTGCCTGGGAAGGGGCTTTCCAAAGTATTCCGCTGCCACTGTGCCGCTCTGGAGTCTTCTGGCTTCCACCTCTCCGGCCTGGGCTGCTGCCAAGGACACTGTGTCCTGGCCAACAAGCAAAGCATATGCTCCTCACCCGAGCAGTCCAGCTCTGTGAGTCAGGCCCATACCGCCATACTGTACACACATGCATGGACAAACAGAGACGAACACAACACAAGCTCACATACATGCTTCAGGGCCACTGCCCCGTATGGGTACACATTTCCCCTCGCCCTGTGCGCACACACAGCAGCGCCGTGCACACACTCCTGCAGCAGGCAACGAAGCGTGAACACATGAGCCCCCTCCATACAATGTGCAATGACACTGATTTACATTTACACACAGCTTTGGACATTTAACCCCATCTCCTTGAAGGCTTTTAAAGCAAAGGAGGAGCCTAGAAATTTGGAGCAGTTGAGGAAGATGCTGATCAGGGAGGCTTCAGTGGCTTTTGCAATTCAACTTGTGTCCAAATTAGATTTCACAGGGCATGGGCACACGGGTAAATAGAATTCGGTTGTTTATTCTGCCTTGAGTTTTTCTCTCCTGTGTGGAAAGGAAATGGGATTTTGGTTTTCCTAGTTGGCAGTCATGACGGCAACACACATTTAGATTTGGCGTGCCTCAAATTATATGCTGGAACAGAGGCATATCTCAGGCTTTGTGCTGTTTTTCATTAACCGTTTATCAGATGAAAAAATCTCTTTTCAAATGAGAGAATTTGTAAGCAGTTTTTTAATAAATGGTGAAGTGACTCCAAAGAGCCTGGAAATTGGAGAGCAGGGAGGCCTTCACCAAGGATGCGCCAGCTCGGAGGGGCCCATCTGAATGTCTGCAGAGATGTCCTCCCACTTAGGAATGCCGGGGATGGAGGTAGAGCTGAGGGTGTCATGTTGGGTGGAAAACCATGGTTCTTCCTTTCCTCCCAGTTGCCCAGAGATGACATTCTCAGGTCACCACGGCTATCCCTGGGCCAATTACCTGCCATGTGCTCTGCTGACAGTAGACTGACAGCTCTGTAGAAAGACACACATGCTCACACAAAGTGTAGGCACTGGCCGTGGCCCAGGGCCTTTTCGGCTTCTGTGGCTCTTGTTGGTACCTCCCGCAGGCTGCTGTGGGGCAAACCCCTGTTACCTCCCTTTAATTGAGTTCCCATTCCTCCTAGGACAGCTTCTGTAAGCTTCTTATAGTATTGGCTTTTACCCTGGATCTAGGAGGCATGTTGAGATAATTTGTGTGTATGGCGTGAGGTAGGGCCAAGATTCCGTTTCCTCCTGTGGATGTACGGTTGTCTCTGTACCATTTGTTAACAAGACCATCTGTTTCCCCTGTGGAAACACCTTGACCTCTTTGCTGCAGATCAGTCAGCCCTAGCTGTGTGACTGTTCTGTTCCGCTGATCAGTGTAACAGACAGGACTGCTTCTGCCACCCCTGGACCTCCTACCCACCTGTTGAATCAGGTGGGGCACCCAAGCCACCCAGAGGGTGTCGAGTGCCCCAGCACAGTTTCCTGGAGCTCAGGCCCTTCAGGCGAAGACTAAGGTCAACAGCTTAGATTTCATACTCCAATACTTCTCTGGTGGCTTCCCTGCCGGGATCACTGAGGGAATCTGTCTTTGCTGTTGGACTCCTAGGCAAAATCAGGCAGTCATTTCCCATAAACACCCACCTCGGCCTGAGCCAGCACCACCACCACACAGGCCTGGCCAGTGATCAGAGGGATCTGCTGTGCTCTGCCAGGCAGTTCCTCACTGCTGGCTGCTCTGCTGCAGACCCAGAAGCCTCAGCACACGCTGTCTTTTAATCAGCTTTTGCCACTTGACTTTAATGAATTCTCTGGGGGAAGTGGCTTTTGGATGATATTAAGTCAACTGAACAGTCAGCCTGGATTTACTGGCTGTGTTGAAGAGGCTGGGAGCAAGAAAGCAGGGGTGTCATTTGGAGAGGTCAGGGGGTTAAAGAGCTCCAAATCACACAAAATGTAGCCGGCACTGATAAGTCTTAGGGACTTCAGGAGATGTCTTCTACATGAAGCCTCTCCTCGGAGTACAGAAGTGATTCTGCTGAGAGGACCCGGCCCTTCTCCAGTGAGCTGTGGGCAGCATCAGGGCTCACAGCTAGAGAAGTGGTGCTAGAGGGGACTGTGCTTCCGAGGATGGCCATGCGAACCTTCTCTGCTCTCCGGCTGCATCCCCATTGCTAGACCCACACGGTCCATCTTTGCCCCTCCTGGAAGCCAAGCGGCCAGGGTTTTGCCCATAAGCAGGGCTGTGAGGTGACTTCTGTTTGACAAGAGCTTCTCCCTGGAATGGAACCTGTTTTCCTTCCTTGATTTATTAACAGATGCTTGCACCCCTCATCAGCAAACCAGGGAGGGGTGACGTGAAAGCTCTGGAGCCAGTGACAGCCCAGGGGTCAAGGCCCTTATCGCAGCTGAGACTTTGGAACTTCCCCATACCTGCTTCCTGCACGTCCCCTGGTCTTTGCCAGCCTCTGGGTTTCTAGAAATCCCCACAGCCACTCAGCTCTGTGCCACAGTCCGTTCGCTTAGCTCCAGAGGTAAGGTGAGCTCACTCGGACCTTGGTGGCTCGTATGACTCTGTGAGTTGAAACGTGATGCCCGTGTCTGGTTTCTGCCTGGCCTCCGCCTCATCCACGTCCACATTCTCAGTTGTCATATACCTCCCTAAGACCTGGGGTCGAGCCCCACTGTCCCACCTCAGGAAGGGCTTTGGCTTCTGACCTGAGTCTGATGGTCTTTGTTTGCAGCTCCTTGGGAGAAGCATGGGCCCAGGTGAAGAAGAGCCTTGCAGACGAAGCAGAAGTTCATCTCAAGTTCTCTGCCAAGGTAACGCCTCCCTGCAGCCTCTCTCAGTTGATCTTACACACTGGGATGCTGAAAAACAGTTAACAACTATCCCTCCAGCATGTCGTGTTTGCCACTTTCCCTGGTGTAAACTTCAAGCTATTAACATGAAGTCACGGAATATGGAGTTGGGAGGAGATGCCCAGTAGCTCACCAGAGGTGGTGTTTTTATACAGATACAGTAGTACCCATAACCATCAATATCTAAGAGCAGGGAAAATAGTAAAGTGTAGTTAGGAAGTGGTAAGTGCTGACTGTGTATTACCTTTTTTGTTGTTTTTTATTATTTTTTTAAAGACAAGGTCTCACTCCGTTGCCCAGGCCGGAATGGAGTGGAGTGATCATAGCTCACTGCAGCCTCAGCCTCCTGAGCTCAAATGATCCTCCCACCTCAGCCTCCCAAGTAGCTGGGACAACAGGTATATGCAGCTACACCTGGGTAATTTTTTATTTCTTTGTAGAGATGGGATCTTGCTATTTCTCCCAGGCTGGTCTCGAACTCCTGGCTTGAAGCAGTCTTCCTGCCTCTGCCTCCCAAAATGCTGGGATCACAGACATGAGCCACTATACCTGGCCTATTACCTTTGGTTTTACTATAATTCATTTAATTATAAGTTTATATTATTTCCTTTTTAATAATGGCTGTGTTTAACAACCAGCAAACAATTCCTGAAAATTTAATATTCAGCTCTTGGGAGCCATTGGGAGCGGGTCTTAGCACATCTGTGTTTCTCAGGGCAGTCCCTGAGTGAGGAAGCCCTGTTTTCTTTTTGCCCAGCTTTCACAGGAATGGCATAGCATGTCCTTTCTCTTCTAGTGTCAGGAAATACCAGGTTATGACAAAGGAATAATTTTTTTTTAAATTTGTGGTGGTTGCAAAATCTCAGAACAAGTAAAGGGTCCTTCTTTGATTTAGTTCTGAAGATGCCAGCGTCAGGACTCGAGGGCAGGGTGTTTCTGTCCTGTCCCTATCCTCAGGCTCAGAATGGTGCCTTGCACATAGTAGATGCTCAGTGAATATTTTCTTATTGAGTCATGAATGAGTGGAGCCCTCTGACTGTCTCCTCCCCACCCCCAGTCTTTTCTGGTCTCTTTTCTCTCAAGATTTCTCCATGTTTCCAAATGACTCTCTTCTCCCTACTCCCTGGCACATATCTCCAGGTTCTCTCGCCGACTCTCAGCTAATTTTTCGATGAAAAATAAACTAAATCTCTCAGTGAAATAATCCACTCTAAAGTATGCATGACTGGTGGGGCAACCCATGAACAGGCCTGCCTTTTAAAAAAAGAGGGACCTTTCAGAGCGGCACCACCCCAGTGACCCTGGCCGCCTCTCTCTTCCCTCTGCCCCCCCACCATCGCTAGTCAGACACAGCAGGGTCAAGTGCCTAAACTCTGAGTCTCCCTTCTTTAAACACATCCTTGGTCATTTGAAGGCCGCATCCCTCAAAGATGGTTGCTCCTTCCTGGGGCTTCCACATTCAGCACTTGCTGGTCTTGTCTCTTTCCTAATGCTCTTCCCACTGCAATTGCAATTCCCTGCTTTGGGATCTCATACGATGGGGAACCCATGATGGCACTCTGCACACAGAAGGCAGAATGAATGACTCAGATGGCTGAGATACGTGAGAGGACTTTTGAAAGAGCTGGGTGGGAAGAGGGAACAGCTGCTATATAGCTCCCCACGGCTTAGTGTACCCCAAGATTGAGTTGACACCCAGTTGTGAGAATTCCCAGCTAGTGAAGGCATATTAATTTTCTTTACAAGGCAGGCCTGTTCATGGGTAGCCCCATCAATCATGCACACTCTAGAGTGGATTATTTTACTGAGAGATTTAGTTTATTTTTCATCTAAAAAGTAGCTGAGAGTTGGACAGAGGACCTGGAGATATGTGCCAGGGAGGAGAGAGACACTTGGAAACATGGAGATATCTTGAGAGAAAGGAGACCAGAAAAGACTGGGGGTGGGGAGGAGATAGTCAGAGGGCTCCACTCATTCATGACTCAATAAGAAAATATTTACTGAGCATCTACTATGTGCAAGGCACCATCCTGAGCCCTGAGGATAGGGATAGGACAGAAACACCCTGCCCTCGAGTCCTGGCGCTGGCATCTTCAGAACTAAATGAAAGAAGGACCCTTTACTTGTTCTGAGATTTTGTAACAACCACAAATAAAAAATAATTCTCCCTTGTTCATAACCTAGTATTTCCTGACACTAGGAAGAGACAGGACATGCTATGTCGTTCCTGTGAAAGCTGGGCAAAAAGAGATCAGGGCTTCCTCACTCAGGGACTGCCCTGAGAAACACAGATGTGCTGAGACCCGCTCCCAATGACTCCCAAGAGCTGAATATTAAATTTTCAGGAATTCTGATGCTACTCTACACACAGAAGGCAGAATGAATGACTCAGATGGCTGAGACACGTGAGAGGACCTTCTGAAGAGCTGAGTGGAAAGAGGGAACAGAGCTGCTACATACAGTTCCCCAAGACTTAGTGTGCCCCAAGTTTAAATTGCCACCCAGATATGAGTGAGAATTCCTAGCTAGTGAAGGCACATTAACTAATCTCATTACACCAAACACTTCATAAGAAAATTGATACTCATGTCCTGGCAGAGAAGGGAACTCCATGAATGAGTCTTTTTCCTGCATAGCCTCCAAAGGAGCAAGTTATTTTTAAGCTGCAGACCATGAATGAGTAGCATTCCCCACAAGGCCTCTCTTCTCCTGTCAGAGCCTCCAGCAGCTCCATTCTCTGCTGTGATGGAAACTTTCATTGACTAGCAAGATGCCTGGGCATGCTGCCATTGTGATGGGGTGGGGCTGGGAGCAAGAGTTTCCAGCTTCGCAAAGGTCACCTGCTGGGTCCCTGGGAATCCTGGTGGCATTTACTCTCCATCAGTAGGATCCCTGATTCTTGATTGTTTAGAGTACTCAATAGGTGGCAAAACCCTCTCCAACGTGATAGTGGTGACATGAGTGGTGTGGATGGCCGTTCAGGATATAACTCATCGCCACCATGGGAGATAGCATCCCCATTTCACAGTGAGAAGGGATGAGGGGCGAGATCACAGCCCACGGCCACACAGCCAGGTGAGCTCAGTCACAAAGGAAGCAAAGGAGAGGACTGAGCCAATGGTAAAGCAGGAAAGGCCATGAAACAAACTCTCAAGCACCAAACAGGGAAGGAAGGGGTGATTTATTTGGCCAGGAGCAGGGCAGCATAGTTGCCTAACAGCCAAGCTCAGCTCACAAAGAAAGTCCCTGCCCTTGTAAAGGCTTACAGCTCTAGAAATTACATGTGAAAGGGTCTTGGGCTTACAACTCTAGAAATTACATGTGAAAGGGTCTTGGGCTTACAGCTCTAGAAATTACATGTGAAAGGGTCTTGGGCTTACAGCTCTAGAAATTACATGTGAAAGGGTCTTGGGCTTACAGCTCTAGAAATAATATGTGAAAGGGTCATGGGCTTACAGCTCTAGAAATTACATGTGAAAGGGTCTTGACCCACGAAATAGGCATGGAGTGGGGGTTTGATCCTATTTAAGTAAAAACAATGCTTTCGGAGAGATTCCTCCATTCCATATCCGTGATATATAGATGGGATTGTGGTCAGCAGTAATGGTCTTATCCTTAACCAGGCTGGCGGCACCAACCGGTCCCTTCTCTGGCTAACTTCTAACTTCTCCTTTTGAGATGCAGTGTAGAAGGCTGAAGGTGATTAAGGGTCTCCTTCCCCAGTGGGAGACGTGGTCCCCAGAGCTTGTCTTCTAACAACACCCCCTATTTGGCAGACCAATGGCATTGAAAACACAGCCTTTTCTTGAGGACCCCTCTGCCCTTCCAGAGGTTGCCAATGGCCCCAGACAACCAAATGCTCAGGACATTTTAAGTCAGCATTCAGGATGCAGGACAGACCTCACCATTCAGCTGATGGGAGGCTCCTGAAGACCCGTCATGCAAAAAGGACTTTGCTACTGCTTCCAGCCTGTCAGTCAGTGTTGGTGGCCTCAGGTGATCATAGCAGCAGCCTAGTAGTTTTATGGAGATCCCTGGAGAAGAACGTGGCTCCAAGGATTTATTTGACTGCCATGAATAATATAGCTCATAATATAGCTCCATATGCTGAAAACCCTTTTTAACGTCTGCTCTGAAAGGCTTATTGAAATTCTGCTCTGAATGCTCTGTGTCAGAGGTAAAAGCTCTTTAAGAAACGCAGTTTTGTTACAGCAATTTTTCTGGTTTTTCTGGTCCACTAGTCAAGCCATTGCTAATAGCAACAGGTTGCTGATGAAATGAGTGTGTTATATACAAAGGAAGTTATACCTGGCGGCTGCTGAAGAAGAGAGGATAGCAGAATTCCTTCTGCCGGTAGAAAATCTCATGTGGTGGAGGCCGTGCTTTCTGTCAGAAGATTTAGGGGACAGGGGAGTCAAGAGACATGAGCTGGAGCTCAGTGCTGTCATCAAGAAGCTCTGTGACCTTGGGCAAGTCACGTAGTTCTCCTGGGGTTTCATTTCTTCACATATGAAATGAAGAATTCAGATCAGTCTCTTTAAACTTATTTGACAGTAATTTACAAATGATGCATTTTACATGAGCATTCAGAACACGTCTGTAGGTATCCACTCCGGTATCTGCACACACACACTCACACATCTGTAGCTGAAACAAATGTTCCATAAAACAGTATTTATTCTCCTACTTAAAATGTACTCTGGTATTTTCTGTTCAAGTCTGGTATTCTCACCAAAAAGCTGGTCCTGGCCCATTAAATCGATTTCACAACTCTTGGCCACACACTGTCTGAAAAATATCAGACTAGACAGTCTCTGAAATTCCTACCAACTTGGAATTTCTCTTGTTCTCTTCTAATGTGTGAGATGAAAAGGAAGAAAAGAGAGTGAGGGTTTTGGAAAGAAAAAACTGATGGGCCCATGACAGGCTGGCCTAAGTCTGCGAGAAACACACTTCCAGGAAGGACTTCTGACTCCTGGTTCCACAAAGATGCTTAAAAGTTAAGAATGAGTCCTAGCCGGGCGCGGTGGCTCATGCCTGTAATCCCAGCAGTTTGGGAGGCTGAGGCGGGAAGATGGAGACCATTCTGAAAGTCAGGAGATCCAAAGTCAGGAGATCGAGACCATCCTGAAACCCCGTCTCTACCAAAAATAAAAAATTAGCCGGGCGTGGTGGCACACACCTGTAGTCCCAGCTACTCAGGAGGCTGAGGCAGGAGAATCCCTTGAGCCCGGGAGGCAGGGGTTGTAGTGAGCCAAGATTGTGCNAAAAAAAAAAAAAAAATACTAAATATACCAGGCTAATCATTTTAAAGAAAAAAATTGTGTCTTTAAATTGTACTTTGTAGAGAGAGGGAAGCTCTAGGCATCCTCACCTATGGAATCTATCACTTCTGAGAGTTAGCAATGTCGTGTTTCCAGAATGTCATTTGAATTTGGGGAAAACTTCTTGGCATATTGGCAGATTCATGGCCTTTTCGTCAGACCAGAGAACCTGAGGCTGGGGTCCAGGAAACCTTAATGTTGAAAACTCTTTCCGGTCATTCCTGGGCATATTAAAGTCTGCAAGTCACTTGCTTTCCACATCCTTAGAGACCCCAGAGTTTCTGAATTAGCAGGCTGAGCTAACTCTCCCAGATTCTCAATCAGGAGCAGGTTCCCTTACAGATTACACAGCTCCTCCTACTCAGCAAATGCCGTATCTATGTACATGGGAAAGGGGTTTATTCGTTCTCATGAGCTCTCAAGATTTTTGTACCATCCTGCAAACTTGCCACCAGATGGGGATGTTTTCCTATACACGGAAGGTTCCTGGGGCTCGGAAAAATAGGACACATTTAACACAAGGAGGAGGGGGTGTTTGGATGGCCAGTTCTCTGTTCATCTTTTGAAGGCCATCTGGTGACAAAGCTGTCTTCTTGTCGCCCAGGGGATTGGGGCTCTGAAGAGTTTGTCATTCTCTCTACAAATACAGAAAGGGCACCCACCCTGCAGCAGCCCTGGCCAGACACTAGGTACAGCAGTGCTCAGACCCGCTTGGAGCTCCCAGTCTTGTGTAAGTCAGTTGCTTAGCATAGGGACACTAAGTCCTGGTGGTCTCCAGAGAAAAATATATTGTACAACAAAAAACTGGCAAGGAGGGAGAGAAGTCACAGAACCCTAGTTGAGATATCACTTGTCCAGGGAAGTTGAGCTGTGCTCCCCAGAGGCACCTCTGAGACAGCTGGAGGCAGATTCGCGGTGGGGGTGGTGGGCATAGGCTGAAGAGGGTTGGTCTGGGAGGCCGATTCCAGGCAGTGGGGCTGGGGGGGTGGCACAGGGCTAGGCTGCCACCTGACTTTGACCACAGCAGGTCCATGTTGATCTTTTTTCCCACAAAATAAATGTGCTCACAACCAAAAAGAACAAATTTTAACGAAAAGTTCTTTTCAAGGGGGGTGGGGTGGGAAAAAGGGAAGGAATAAAAAAGAAAAAAGCTGAAAACCCTGATGCCACCCAGCTCTTCTGACAGCGTATAAACCCTTTCCTCTGGCCCCTGGGATACGGGGGCGGTTCCCTTTGGTGGGGACGGAAAGTGTGCCTGTTCCCCGGGGCAGCCGAGCAAGCTGAGAAAGCCTCCAAGTGTGGTGCAGGAGAGCTGCCCTTGTGAGTTTCCAGCAGGCCTTGAGCAGGTCCCACCATCAGTTCCTCGAGGTTTGGACCCTGTCTGGGTTACCTTTGTATTCTCAGCACCTGGTGTGGAGTAGATGCTCAAGAAATAGGACTGAGCTGAGACTGGCTGACTGGATGGCATTCATTCGACTGTTCTTTACTGGAGCTGCATACTCCGGTTACTGTGCTAAGTGCTTGGGGCCACAGACGCTGATGTGGTTTCTGTCCCCAAAAAGCTCTCCGTTTGGAAAATAAGTGAGAGAAGCACAATAACAAAGCCGTGCAAGAAGCTATGGAATAAAATAAGCATGTGAGGTAATAGATTATTATTTTTTTGAGACTGAGTCTTACTCTGTCACCCAGGCTGGAGTACAGTGGCATGATCTTGGCTTACTGCAGCCTCCGCCTCCCAGGTTCAAGTGATTCTCCTGCCTCAGCCTCCTGAGTAGCTGGGATTACAGGCACCCGCCACCAGGCCCAGCTAATTTGTGTGTGTGTGTGTGTGTGTGTGTGTGTGTGTGTGTGCGCGCGTGTGTATTTTTAGTAGAGATCGGGTTTTACCATGTTGGTCAGTGTGGTCTGAACTCCTGGCCTCGAACTCCTGGCCTCAGGTGATCCACCTGCCTCGGCCTCCCAAAGTGCTGGGATTACAGGCATGAGCTACCACATCCAGCCCATTGATTATTTATTAACTTGATTTAGCTATTCTACAATGTATACATATTTCAAAACAGCATATTGTAAACCATAAATATAGACAGTAAAACATTCTAAAAATAAAATTTAAAAGCTGCAGAAGCTCTAGTTGCTAACCACTCATCCTGTAGACATGTGCGTTGGGGCCTTCTGGGCTAAGGCAACCTGCGTAAGCTGAGACCTGATAGGCAGCCACTTGTCAGGGGCTGTCTCACCTTCCTGCCAGGCCACTGCCCCACACTCACCCTCACCTGCTTGGGGAGGTGGGGGTGCCCCTCCCACCACTCCTCCGTGCCCTGGCTTACAGCCGACGCCCCCAGTCCTGAGTGTGCTGCTCCACCCTCCCAACAGCTTCACAGCGAGGTGGAGAAGCCACTGATGAACTTCCGTGAGAACTTCAAGAAAGACATGAAGAAGTGCGACCACCACATTGCCGACCTTCGCAAGCAGCTCGCCAGCCGCTATGCCTCAGTGGAGAAGGTGAGAGGCCCAGGACGCCGGGCCGGGGCAGGTGTGTCGGGGGCTGCCTGAGAGGGTGGACTGGGAAGCCAGCAGTGGCTGCGTGCGACACGGCGGCGTCTTTGTGTCCAGGTAGGGGAATAGGGGGATGTCCAAGCCTTGTGCCCATGCCTGAGCACCCCCACCCATCCCAGGGCAGATAGGAGCTGCCTCCCTGTGCTGCTCAGATGACCACCCAAAGGGCCAGGGGTGCGACGAGAGGCCGCAGCCACAGTAGGGGGTCGAGTGACTGTGGGTGACCAATTAAACCCCAAGCTTGGCGGTGCTGCGGCTGGTTCACAGGAGGCCCCGTGTTTAAGCCTCACCTGGTAGAGTCCTCCTGACTCAGTCACCTCTTCCATGCTCTCCTTCCTGCTCAGGGACGAGGCAGAGTCCTGGGTGATCTCACCTCAAGGGAGCTGCAGTTCAGCCCTGGAGGGAAGAGAGTGTTCGCCAGGGGCTGATTCCCAGCCTCCAGTGCCTTAGGGAGGAGAAGGGGGCTCACACTGTGGGACACCCTGGGCCCAGCCAGCTGCCTCCACCCAAGGGCTGCGGAGCTGCCAGTGGTGGCCAGAGGAGAAGCAGCAGAGTGAGGGGAGGGAGAGGGTCAAGGTGTGTCCGGCTCTGGAACGGGACGCCTGGTGCTACATCCTATTGAGTGCTGCAGGGAGGTGATACACGTGGCCTTTGTGGTCCCTTCCAAGCAGAGGGGATCTGATTTTAGGACTGCCTGTGTCCCCAGTCTGTATATAGGCTCCACTGGGAAAAAGTCTGAGATATTGATGTAGGATGAGTCCACATGTCGCTGGAAGAGGCAAGGATGAAAGCTGGGTTGTAGCCTCTAACTAGCTGGGTGATGCCGCTCTGGCAGCTGGGCTCCTCTGAAGCACTATGGCATCACCCACACAAACAAGGGGCAAAAGGACTCCAGAGGGAAGCTGGGCTGCATGGCCCATGAGGCCCCCTGGCTCCAAGCTTTACCAGCAGCTTCTCCACGTCCTTGGACCCCAGGCCCGGAAAGCCCTCACAGAGCGGCAGAGAGACCTGGAGATGAAGACGCAGCAACTGGAGATCAAGCTGAGCAACAAGACAGAGGAGGACATCAAGAAGGCGCGGAGGAAGTCCACACAGGCTGGTGAGTGCCGGGCACCCACCTGGCCTGGTCACTGCGCACAGGGGAGATCACTGAGCTGGGAGATGGGGTGACTGGGGAGGGGGCATCTCTCCTTTGCAAGACTGCAGGGGGGAAATTACTTCCCTTGTCTCCCAGGAGGTACCCCCTCTTCTCTTCTCTCTGGCCCACACCCAGGGATCTCAAAGGAAGATACTTCGGGGGTCAGAGGAAGGAAACAGGCCAGGCTAGTTCCAGGCCATGGCAGAGGCTGGACTGCTTACTCCCTCCCTAGTGATGGGTTTTTTTGCACAAGCCCCAGATCTCTGACCAGGAGGTAGACAGACTCCTTTACGTGCTGATTGCTCAGGGCCCGGTCCCTGTTCAGAGCCCACAGAAGTGGACAGTGCACCCAAGCGGCCCACCTCCCCAGGAAGCGATGCTCTGTAGGTTCACCTATGGTGATGGGCACCTGCCCTGGGAACAAAGGCTGACATTTTATTTAAAGAAATAACCAGATTTCAGTGTCTCAGAGTCTCCCAGTCAGTTGGTTTCTGCTTCTACCTAGTGGTAAAAGTTAGCTAATACACAAAAGAAGAAGAGAAGGCCTGGGAGAACCAGTGAAAACCTCCATAACTAGATCTAAAGGAAGCCAAGTTGTACTACACGTGAGGACATGCGTGTTGCCTCTGGAATTACCATGTGTGCTGTAGTATTAGAGTTTGGTCTGTAGGTCACTTTCACCTTAATTTTTGGTGAACCTATTACAATTCACTTCATTATGGAAGAAAGCAACACCTTACATTTGAAAATAAGGTAGGATAGAAATTTAATAAAAAAACAATGTAATAGAAGGACAACATTTATTATACAGATCTATAATGCACAGTAATAAGTTTCTGCATCCAGAAGTAGAAGCCATGGTATATTTGTTGGTAGAGGGAAGGGGGACCCAGAAGGGGAAGAGATCTGTTTAACATTATTAAGTTATTTTAAAAAATAAATTATAGGCCAAGAGCAGTGGCTAACACCTGTAATACCAGCACTTTGAGAGGCTGAGGCAGGAGGATCAATTGAGCCCAGGAGTTCAAGACCAGCCTGGGCAACATAGTGAGACCCCATCTCTACAAAAAACTTTGAAAAAATTAGCTATGCATGGTGATACACACCTGTAGTCTCAGCTACTCAGAAGGCTAAGGTGGAGGATGGCTTAAACCCAGGAGGCTGAGGCTGTAGTGAGCTGTCATCACGCCACTGCACTCCAGCCTGGGTGACAGAGATTCTGCCTCAAAAAAAAAAATGTATTGCAAAAACAGTATGGATACATGGCAAAATATTTTAATCAGCACAGAAGAGTAGAAAATGCTATTCACAGAAATAATCACCATCACTTCCTAGTGTTTTAATTTTTAAATATTTAAATTTATATAAATTGGATCATATAATTTATCTTCTGAACCTATTTAATTAATATGTCCTGGAAATATCTCTTTTTCATTCCTATAAATGTTTTTACCCATCCATTCATGCATTCCAAACTTTTTAATGGTTGGCCAGTGTCGAATTGTGTGATTGTACCCAAATTGATTTCATCATTCCCTTAATTGAGGTCTAGGAGTCATAGATTGTTTGAGTGCTTGCCAGCCAATGGAGCTCTATACCTGCATCTTTGTGGGTGCCTAAGACCAGATCTGCATACAGAGAGAATATAGATGCTGAGTCAAAGGGCATTTATTATTCATCTTGATGGATACTTCCAAATTGCTTTCCAGAGAGAGCACCCGCCTACAGCATCTATGGGATAACACCTGTTCTCTAAATGCTGGTCGTATGTTATCAAGACTTGAAATCGTTAGTGTCTGGGGAAAAATGATATTTTGTATTTAATTTGCTTTTCTCCATAAGCTGGGTTGAGCATATAAAATATACATATAAATCATTTTGCACTTTCTGTGAACTGACTAACGCATATCCTTTCCCCACTGACCATAGATTCTTTATCTATCGGGGAGATGAACGATTGGTCATTTTAATTACTTCCTAGATGGTCATTTGTCTTTTAGTTTTGTTCTTTGTAAATTTTTTTGCTTGTTGATTTTTTTCTTGCTGTTTTTCTGTACAGCAGCATTTCCCATATGAAGCTAGATTTTAGAACTGACTTAGATCTTTTGTTATTTTTTAATCCCCTAGAGGTTTTTTTCTTACTTTTTTTTGTTTGTTTCAGGTGTTTCTTTTTGTTTTTAAAACAGTAAAATATTTAACCCACCAGACATTTATTTTTCCTTACACTGGTGGTCTAACCATATTCCACAGGTTCTTATTTGTGGTGTTTTCATTTCTGCTATTTTTCAATATGTTTTGCTGTTTGGGTTTTCATTTAATCTTTAAGCCAAGAATTGGTTCAAAGAAAATCTTTACCTTTTTATAGGCAAGGGTTTTGTTATTGTTGTTTCCTAATCTTGCTGGGGTTTTTTTACATAGTTTTACTGCATTGTCATCAGATAATACAGTCTCTCCTTCCTGTGGTTGGGAATTATTTTGTGATGAAAGTGACAGTCCTTAGACCTAACTCTAAAACACCGCCTCTTGAGCACTCACTGTGTGCCGGCCTCCATGCTTCACAGCACTGTCTCTTTTGATCAGTACAGTCCCCCTGCAGGGAGGTATTTTTATGCTCTTTACAAGTGAGAAGACTGATGGCAGAGAACATCGGAAACTTCCATGAGGTCCACAGTGATGCAGCGGCGAAGCCAGAATTCAGCCTCCTCTCATTCCAGAGACTCTGCTTGTCGCCATTTTGCTGGCTAGCCTGCTGCTCAGAAAATGCCACCTGTTCTTTCCTTTCATTCCTTTCCTCCCTCTTCCTCATCTTTTCCAAGGCTACTAGAAGGAAGGACATCAGATCCTCAGGGATCGTCATCAGCATCCTCACCACCATAGCCCATGTTATTTGGTTATCTATGCCCATCTCTACTCTAAGTACTTTCTAGATACTGGCATATTTATTCCTCATAACAACTTGGCGAAGGCACAATCATCATCTGCATCTGTACTTCATCCCCAGATGAAGAAACAGAGGCATGGGTAGGTTAATTGACTTGTCTACGATTACACAGATAATAAGTAGTTGAGCTAGGGTGACAGCAAAGGCATTCTTATCCCACAGTCCCTGATCTTAGCTGATACTATTCGAAAAGATCCAATTTCTTTTTTGCTTGTTTGGGTTTTTTTTTTTTTTTTTTTTTTTTTTTTTTTTTTTTTGAGAAGGAATCTCGCTCTGTCACCAGGCTGAAGTGGAATGGCGCAATCTTGGCTCGCTGCAACCTCCACCTCCAGGGTTCAAGCGATTCTCCTCCTTAGCCTCCCGAGTAGCTAGGACTACAAGCACACACCACCACGCCCAGCTAATTTTTGTACTTTTTTAGTGAAGACGGCATTTCACCATGTTGGCCAGGATGGTCTCGATCTCTTGACCTCATGATCTGCCCGCCTCAGCCTCCCAAAGTGCTGGGATTACAGGCATGCATCCCCATGTCTGTCCCAGAAACGTCCAATTTGAAGCTCTTGGGCTGCCCTAGGGAGAAGGCACAGCCTCCTTCACCTACTCTGTTTCCCAATGCTGTGGAAGTTCCTGAAGCAGTTTCTCAAAATCAGGATTGCCACACAGGGCTCACAGAGTTTCACAGTGTACATGCATGGAGCAGCATGCCACTCTCCTCCTCGGCCAGCAGGAGCTCTTGGTGGAAATGCATCTGTAGTCCAATATCCACTTTCTTCTCTCTGGTTCAGTGTTTCTTGGAATCAGGATCCAGTCATTGGTCTTGAACCCAGAACAAAATGAATAAATTCCTTGGTGTGGGCTCTGTTAGCCAAGGCACAGTGCTTGCCTTTGGTGTGTGACGCAGCTAGGGGCCTGGTTCGAACCTAGGCCTTGGGTATGGAGGCATAACCTTCCCTGTTCTTTTTTTTTTTTTTTTTTTTAAAGACAGAGTTTTGCTCTTGTTGCCAGGCTGGAGTGCAATGGCGTGATTTCGGCTCATGGCAACCTCCGCCTCCTGGATTCAAGCGATTATCCTGCCTCAGCCTCTCCAGTAGCTGGGATTACAGGCTTGTACCGCTATGCCTGACTAATTTTTTGTATTTTTAGTAGAGATGGGGTTTCACCATGTTGATCAGGCTGGTCTTGAACTCCTGACCTTGTGATCTGCCTGCCTCAGCCTCCCAAAGTACTGGGATTACAGGTGTGAACCACCACACCCAGCCCCTTCCTTGTTCTCTTTGACTTCCCTATCAGAGTACCTATGAGCATCAGCGGTGATGCTACAGGAGTAACTTGGACTCTCCTCAAACTACGAAATTCCAATCTCGCATTCTGCTTCTAGAATTACTACAGAAAATCACTTCACTTTGGGATTCACTCATGAGCTTTTTGCATCATGAGCAAAGATCATGATGCCTTCCTCTTGCTGGAGCCCTGTGAAGATGAGGAAGCTACACTGAGACAGAGCTGTGCACAAGAGCTGTGCTTCTCCGCCTGCCATGTGCACATGCATCACCCGAGCTGCTTGTAAAAATGCAGTCTCTGATTCAGTAGGTCTCGGATCTGCCCTGGGTTTCTGAATTTCTAGCCAACCCCAGGGGATACAGGTGCCCCTGGCCCACAGACTGATTTGTGTAGCAAGGTTCCAAGGTGCTGGGACGCTTACTCATGTTGGCAATTACATTGTGGTGCGTTTTCGTTTGAATTACAAAATGTTCCAAACATGCTTATGATAACAGAAAGTAATAGATTAGTCATAAAGATTTAATAGTTATGTTTAGCTCTTTCTGTGATGAAATAAAATGCAATAGAAGGAACTGATTCCTGCCCACTCACCCTTTCTCCGTTTCCCAAAGGGCCACTCTCCTGAAGTTGGTGTGTGCAGGTCCAGTGCGTGTTTTAGTCTGTGACTACAGATGCTGCTTTTGTGTTTCAGAAGGACATCTTGCAGTGTCTTCATGCACACATACACACACACACACACACACACACACACACACACACACTCTGCAAACTTATCTTCCTTAATTCTTCTTCATACCAAATTGTGTGTGACATGTTTTAACTGATCTGGATTCCCCAGTGTAAAATAAAACTGCCATCTTTAGAAAGGGAAACATTTCTTGGGCTCATGAAAGGATCGGGGGTCCTTGGAATACCCTACACACACACACACACCATCCTGAATCCTTACAAAATGTTTGAAACATACATAAGATAACAGAAATTAATAGACTAGTCATAAAGATTTAATAGTTATATTCGCCTATCTTTCTGTGATGAAATAAAATGTAATAGGAGGACTATCTGGGGTCAGGCTTCAGGTGGACACCTGAGCTGGTTTCTCATGGGGCTGGGTTGCCTCTTCCTGCCCTGGCTCTGCTTTCTTCTTCCTACTGCCATCCCTTTTCCAACTTTCCAGTGGCCACCGTGACCCCGGGGAAAGGTGAAGGCTTGGCTATGGGGCACAGGCTGGGGCACGGAGTAATGGCAAGGATGGGATGGATCATGATGGTGACTGTGGTCTTTTTCCAGGAGACGACCTCATGCGCTGTGTGGACCTCTACAACCAGGCCCAGTCCAAGTGGTTTGAAGAGATGGTGACCACCACACTGGTAAGTGGTCACGGATGTGTGGACATGGCGGTGCAGGGGCTCACGCAGAGCAGCCCCTGGTGATGGTTGGTGAGCACGGGGAGGAAGGGGTGGAGTGACCCTAGATATGGTCATCAAATCTACTTCAGCGTTGGGGTCGAAACCTCAGTCCGAGCCAGCTTATGTGGTTACACATCTCTGCCCCAGCATTTCCTAGCTGTGTGGACGTGGGCACCGTTGGGTTGGGTGTGGCTACATCCTTCTCAGCCTGTCCCCTGAGAGGTCAGGGTCAACTGAGGACTCTCCCCAACTAAGTGGACAATGGCCTCTTTAGGAAAAACAGCCAAGCTATAGGAAGAGAGGACCCCCCCACCTCCCGCCACACACGCACACGCATGCACACACAGGTCTTCAATAGGAGATCCTTGCAAGGTGGCTGGATGGCTGAGATTGGAGCTACACAGGAGGGTGGGGGGAGGCCCCTGACCAAGGGCGAACAACAGGTCGTAGGGCCGATGATGCTCTCCTGAGTATTTCTTGTAAAGGGGGCAGCATCTCCTTATCGGTCAGCACCTGCCTGAGTGGACAGTGAAATGTGACTGGTGCTTGGGCCAGATGGGCCAGGAGACATTATGCCAGGTGCTCATCGGATCAACCCACAGCCTAAAGCCACCTCCTGCCCATCCAGCACAGGACTAACCAGCTGCCTTCCCCAGGTGTCAGCCCACCAGAGCAGATTAGAGGCCTCCACCAGGGACAGTGACCTAGTTTTCCTCCTGGTTAATCTAATTAAGCCCCCTGCTTTACTCCCCTTTCTGTTTAATCACCTGGGCAGTGACCTAGTTGTATACAGAATAACAGCCTGATCCCCTAGATCCCAAAGACACAAAACCATCTAGAAACCAAAGGATAGGCCCCTTCCCCTCTTCCCTTTGACAAAGGCTGCTCCTCGTGGAGTCCTGTCTGCCTCCCTGGCCTGGCCCCTATTGCGGCCACAGCACTAGGCGTGGGCAGAGGAAGGGAGGCTGCTCCGCAGAGGCCCAGGAACAAGGTCCCCGGAATGTGTGGCATGGAGCTCCCACATGTGTCCCCCTGCTGCACCCCATCAGGGCACCACAGCTAGGGCTGCCTGGGTGCAGTGTCATGAGTGACAGCCCGATGGACCCTGGTTTAAATCCCGTCCCTCCCATAATTCCGTATCGCTTTGAGTGAGCTGTGGTGTCTCTCTGGGTGTTAGCTCCCTTGCTTGGAGAATAGAGATGATGACAGAAATGATCTCTTAAAATGGTAATGAGGACAATTAAGGAATACACATAAAGCCCTCAGCACTGTGCCTGGCGGAGCAGGCTTTCGGGAAGTAAAACAGCAGCCGTGCTGTCATCATCTTCACCTTCACCCTGGACACGGGGCACGCTCTTCATGAGACCCCAGAGAGCCAGATGGGGTAGGATGTCCGCAGCCAGTGTGGTCTTGGTGGGAAAACCCCAAAGTAGAGGGGACGTGCTCAGAGCTCTGTGGCCTTTGCTTTCTCGGCAGGAACTAGAGCGGCTGGAGGTGGAGAGGGTGGAGATGATCAGGCAGCATCTGTGCCAGTACACGCAGCTGCGGCATGAGACAGACATGTTCAACCAAAGCGTGAGTTTCCGGCCCTGTGGGGCTCCCGGGCGGCACAGGGCCTGCGGAGAGCCACCCGGCGCTAGGCCGTGGCAGGTGAAGTGACCGCTGCAAGGAATCTGTCTAAAGGTGGGCAGTGGGCAGATGCTCTGGCCTAGGAGTGGCCTCTTGGGTTGGACCTGTCCAGATTGTCCTGGACGTCTGTGTGAATCTGCCCCTGGTACGTGAAGTGGACGTACGTGAGCTGTTAACCTGAGGAGAAAGAAGCTCATGATAATTCCAGTAGCCAAAGACATTATTAAATTTCTTACAAAATAACGTAAAAACAACTTCCAGAAATCTTCAGAATACCTAAAGCCAGAGTTGTCTTTGCCCTGTTCTCTGGTGGTAAATGTGGGGTGAAATGGAGAAAGGGGTCACAGACCTTGAGCCTTTAAGGCCCTCGTGGCCTCTCCTCCAGGCCTGGGGCCTGGCAGTATGAGAAGCAGGGTCAGGATGTGTCCTGGGCTCCCCGTTCACAGCCCTCTGCATGTTTGTCCCTCAGATGGGCCTCCCCTGGGACCCAGAGCCCTCTAGGGAGGCTGCTCTGACAGACACGAAGGCGAGGACGGCATGTCTCCAAGGAGACCTCCCCAGCTTGGCCACCATCTCTCACAATGTTGCGTCTTCTCTGTCTCTTGCAGACAGTCGAGCCCGTGGATCAGCTGCTTCGAAAAGTGGACCCTGCCAAAGACAGGGAGCTCTGGGTCAGAGAGCACAAGACGGGCAACATCCGCCCTGTGGACATGGAGATCTAGACGGGCCTGTGCAGCTTTGGGGGGTCCTGCCGGGGAGAGGGGCTGGGCTCCCACCATGGGGCCTGTGCTGAGTGGACGCCCCCCTCCCTCTCTCCTGGGCCACTGAGGAGAGGGGAGAGAGCTGGTGATTCCAAAAGGGTGACCCGGACAGCCCAGCTGGGGGCTCTCCCATATTCCCAGGCCCAGAAGACAGACCCACAGCCCTGCCCTTGTCTCTGAGGCTGAAGGCCCCCGACTCCTGTGCTGTGCTTGCCACTCTGAAACAAACAGGCTGGAACTTTATGGTCCCTGCTGAGCTCTGTAGGGGTCACCATCAAATGCTTGTGCCCTGGAAGCCCCAAGGCTCTTCCTCCAGCTGGCACCCTTGTCTCCAGGGTTTTGGAGAATCAGGGGAGGGACATCTCTGTCTCTAAGCCAGGTGTCAGGATCAGAATCGTGGATAGCAGGTGCCATTCAGCTCCCAGCCGCACCCAGAATCCTTTGCAGCCCTCCTCCTTTATTTTTTTTTCCCATTGCATTCTGGGAGCCCATGTCCGGCTTTCTCGGCCACACATTCATCATCAGGGGTTTTAGGAGGAAGGCTTGGCTCCTGTTTTCCCAGACCCACCCTGCCTGGAGAGGTCAGGATGGAACTACCTCATTCGGCAAATTAGCCCCAAATCGAGCGCTGAATCATGTCTCCTATGAGATCAGGCGCCATCTGTAAAGTCTCCTCTGGAAACGCCAATCCACCCTTCCCTCAGCTGCTTCCTCGGGGAAGCCCCTGTCCCCACCCTGTCACCCCTTCCCAGTCTCATTAGAGGAAGCTTTCCAAAGTTCTCAAGTTATCAAGACCTCATCCAGCTCGTCCAAAGGCTTCAGGGATAGACATGAACCAGCTCGTCTCGGAGGCCAGCAAGCTGGGGCCTGTCCACCATGGTGCCCTCTGCACCTTTGGGCTGCCCTGGCCCCCACCCTCCCAGGCTGCCCACCATGGGCTTGTAATGGGGCTGGGTCAGTCCTACATGGGAGACGGGTCAGGCACGTCTCTGCCATCCCCCAGATGGCTGTGTCTTCTTGTGCATGGCAGGGCTGGGACTGCTGTCCCTTGTATGGTTTTCTCTCACTGGTGGGCACTGGACAGGCATCACAGATGCTCTTGTGGCCATACTAGGTTGCCGCCCTCCAGGCAGTGTCCTGCCTCCTTGGCTTCTAGCTCCTTCTGCACATTCCAGAGCCCTGCACCAAGCCCTCCTTTCCCACCCTCCATCTTCCATTCCCTGGAAGAGTCTGGTCCGAGTGTGACTTAGGAAGCTTTCAGTGCTGCCGTTGGGTCCAGCTCATTGTGTCTCCCGTTCTCTGCCACAGCAAACACATTCTCTACCACGTCAGTCTAGAGAGTCAGCCCGAGGGGCTGGGAGAAGCATGAGCGAGGGCCGGATTCTAGTCGGGAACCCATTCCCTGGAAATCCATCTTTCTTCATCCTTCCCATTGACCACTTTGGGTTTGACCTGCACATCTGTAATGAGGGCAGAATTCAACAAGCACAACACTGGTCTTTCAGACTCATGTGCTAGAAACTGATGACTCATTAATCTCGAATCTTTTGGCCCCTCTGTCATCGAATGAGAATTGCCTTGTAGTTCACATTAGAAAAAATGCCCAGCATACTAAAGTAAACCAAACGTTGTCACTTTTCTTTTGTTCTTGAAACACTGCAACCAAAAAGTCCAGCTCAAAGGCCTTCACCAACATGAAGACCGCCTGGTAGGATCTGTCCATGGCATGGGGAATCACTCTGTCCAGATCTGGGGTTGGGTCATGACACCAGCTGCCAATTTTAGAATATTATTTCTTGGTTTCTTTATGAAAAATGGGTGCTAGTGGTAATTGCTTTGTGGCTTAGTAAACTACTTTGTGGATGATTTCCAAACATTCAAAACCAATAGCCTTGTTATGAACACAGATATTTTGAGTATGATACGGCTCATTGACTTTTCCATTTCCATCTGAGGATTCCAGAGTCCTTGGTTCATCCCTGGGATGGAGTGAGCTCTCTTGTGTCTTCCAGGGTAGCTCAAGTTGGCCCAGTTTGGGCCAGTCCATTTTCGGAGGTCACTCTTTCCCCCTCATCCCCTCATCACCTTCTCTTTAACCCCTTCATGTCCGTCCTTCCTTTCTTCCCTCTGTTATTCATTCATCAAGCAAGTTAAAGGGATTGTGCTAAGATCTAATCTGAGGACACCATACGGCCCTGTCATCAGGGAAGCCCATGATCTCTCGTTTTCAGGGTCCTTACAGGTCAGTAGCCTTGGCATTCACATATAGGTACTCTGCAGAATTTAGGTTTTCAGAGGTAAGTCTATTGTGCTGATTAATATCCATTCATTTATTCAGCGAATGCGCAAGACAAGCCAGGCATGCTGAGAAGTGATGCTGTAGTTGCGTGTAAGAGGGGTGCTCTTCCCCTCTCCTGTGTTCTCCACGTAACGGGGGAGAGTATAATAAGAACATTGTACCCTCCCCACACTTAACCCTCTGGGATTCTTTATTATAATATAAACTGCTCTGGGACAGTTACCTGTTGGATGGAAGGTAGACAGAAACAAGATCTTAATCACCTGGTCCCCAGACCCTCACAGCTCATATCCAGCTTGAATTTCAGAAATGCCTTTGTTTGCTGTGAATAACTCTTTACAAATGAGCAAGGGAAGCCCAAGGATAGCCAGCGAGGTTGTGAAGTGGCCAGTGAATTGAGAGCAGGGCTGGAGTCGACAGTCCAGGCCCCCTACCCCTATGAACAGGGGCCCCTTTCTGGTTGGAATCAAAAGTAGGCAGGTCTGGGCTGTTCTTAAGAACATCCATATTTCATTTCTGAGAACAAGTCACCCCCTTCTATCTGCCTCCACCCAGGAGACTGGTGCACAAGATGTGTTTGTGAAAGCCTAATTTAAAATGAAGAGGAAAAAAAAATCCTGACGCCAATTGTTTTCAAAGTGAGTTGGTTGCTATGACAACCTCCAGGAAGGGCCACTTGTTACCCTCTCTTCTTTCTAGTGCTTTCCATCAGTAGCAACGCATAGGCCACTTGAGCCATGGGGACCCTTGAGGTTCTGCTAGTAGGACCACCCTGGGCCTCCTTTCACCTCCACTCAGCACCCTGTTGGCCAAGGAAAATTTCTGCAGTGGGGCCTTTGGTCAGGGTTGGTAATCAGCCGGGCACACTGAAAGTGTACCAACGAATTCACCCACCAGGAGTTTGTTTCTCTACCCTTTGTGAAAACCCATCAATTACTAGATTAGTGGATGGATGCATAAAAATCTGGGCTGAGCCAAAGTCCCTTTTGGAAATACAAGCCATAAAATTGGAAGGGCATCAGAGACCTTGGCTTGTTTAGGTGATTTTTACTTCCAGCTGCAGGTAGTCTTGGCAAGGAGCATTTAAACAGACGGCTACAGATGCGCTCATTGTGTGGGGTGCAGATCAGATGCCCGCCCACATCTCCTGGGCATAGTCTCGTCCCATAATCCTTCCCACCCCTAAGAGGCTCATCGCCATCATCTTTTCCCAGGTTTATTGAGGTATGATTGACATCCGGTACAATCCACCCTTTGGAAATAGACGGTTCTGTGAATTTTGACCAATTTCGCGTCTTGTGACCACCAACAGCAACCTATTTTTATCACTCCAAAAACTTCCCTCTTCCTACCCTCTTTCCCTGGCAACCCTCATTGGTGATCTGATCCTATAATTTTGCCTCTTCTAGAATGTCATATAGGTGGAGTCACACCGATGTAGCCTTTTGAGTCTGCCATCCTTCCCTCAGCTTAACGCTTTTGAGTCTCTCATGATGTGTGCGTGCAGTTCGTTCCTTCTCGTTGCCGGGAAGTCTTTCATTGCATGAGTGCACTACTCTGCTTCTTTAGCTTTACACTGAGCCATTTTCCCTGGAAGTTCTTGGCCCAGGGTCTTCAACTTGTTTGCACGACCACTTCCAGCTTGCTGCTTCCTTCGGCTCCCCCAGGCTCCTCCTCTGCATGCCAGCTGTGCCCACAAGCGGTTCTTAGGGCTCACACTTGCCTTTTTGGCTCGTGGTGGATTTTTGATAGAGCAGAAAGCAGCCAGGGATGGTAGGGGAAGGGATGGATGGGCACTCAGTTGCTGCTCATGTCTGCTGCAACCTGAAGTTAGCATCTCAGCCAATAGATCCTCTCCCTTCTGGGACCCACGCTTCAGTGTCACACAGTCCTTGGCATGTATTGAGCGTTGCAGGCTTCAAAAGATGAACAGAAGCAGCATGGATGAGAAGCCTGGGGCTGGCCCTGGGGCTCATCACGACGCTTTCCTAGAGCTGTTGCTTCCTCTGCAAGCTGAGGGTGTTTGTTCTAGATGAGTGTCTCAGGCCACCAGCGACTGCATGCACCTCCTCCCCTTTTCATTTCCAGTGATGTGCCCTGTGCACATATGTGTTCATGCTGTGTCTAGCTCTCATCTGCACAGTCGTGCGTAGAATTGCCTCAAGTCCTGGTGAGAGAGCGAGAGATGCCTTGGCACTTTTCCATTTAGACTCAAATGGAGCTAAAATTAAGAGTTGTGAGCTGTTAAGAATGAGGTAGTTTCTCCTAGGACCCCCCAAAGAAAGTGCAAGTAATGACCGTTTGGGTCTCATTCACCGGTCTTGGATGGTACGTTCTGAAGTCTGCTCCCCAGAAGGCAGGACAGGCGTGAAGCTGGAGTCCTTGTCGCAGCTGGAGCGTTTCTCAGCTGGTGGTCACACAGCCTGGCCTGTGTCTGCACTCCACTGGATGGTGGTTCATGGTGGCAGGGACAGGACCACACCCAGCTAAGGCCAGGCCAGACTGAATGTTACCCCCGAGGTAAACACTCCTCTAAGCTGTCTCTTGTTCATGCCCCCTGCTCAGTGAAAGGTGTGCCCCGAGGCCATCTGGGTACCTCTCTATGCAAACCAGACATTTCTGGATCAAGGCCAGGTGAAGACGGGGGCCGGGAAGCCAGAGCTACCAGGGCCTCAAGGAAAGGAGCCAAGGATGCTGCTGGGACTCTGCTGGGTTCAATTTTGCCGGGGAGGATTCTTGTCTACCCCTCAGGAGTATTTCTGTTGAGGCTTTCCTGGAGGTGAAGAACCAATTCCTATAAAAAGTTTTCAGGAAGTTAAATCCTATCTTGTTTTTATTTTTTATTTTTTCAGCAGGTTAGAGTGAGAATCAGAGGACAAAAATCAATCTGCTTCTCCCAACTTTCTAAATGCTGGGGTATGGCTGTCAGGAGGCTCTGTTGGGAGGTGTCTCGGGGTGGGCTAGGGTTGGGGCGAAGGCCTTTGGAGATTGCGTGTGGTGTTCGGGACTGTTTCTTGGGGTTTGAGGGAAACTTCTAGTGGGATTGCAGTGGAATGTAAAGAGGTCAGGGCACATGGGTGCTCTGTTAGGGTGGGGTGACTCGGAGACCTAGAGGGAGAGCCTGCTGTGCAAGGGAAGAGCAAGGACTGGCCCTGTTCTGCTGCCTCCTTTGTCCCATAACCTGAAGTTAAGTCACATCCCCTGTTGGGACCTCTGTGCACTCATCTGTCAAGTGGGGACACTTCCCTTCCAGCATCACCTGCAGCAGACGGGCTCTCGGGAGTCGTGGGTTCCAGGCAGCCGTGTGGACCCAGGGACAGACATTCAAAGGGACATCAGCCATCCTTGGTGACAGGGGCCCCGACGTAGCATCCCTTCCCTTCCCTTAGGAAGGAGATGACTGGAGGCATCCCCTTCACAGACACAAGCACATCGGCAAACCCTATGAGAGTGGAATTTTCTAACAAAATAAACTTGCTCGTTTGATCTGTTTTCTGTAACTTTTGCTAAATACTTTATACATTTTTCATGTTAAAGAGCCGTGTCTCCCGCCAGCACACCCCACCCTGGTATGAATGTGTTCCCTCCACATTGTATATCCTTCCACCCTCTGGCTGCCTAGATTAGTAAATAAAATTGATGTAATATAATTTATAAGTAACACTGTTGAAACCCTGATCCCAGTGGAGGCTGTAGCCCACCCTCCCCTGCGCCGCCCTGTTATCGCATTTGTGTGTATTAATGCTGAAGAATTAAATGTTTAAAGAGTTTAAATTTTGAAGGCGTTTGCTATATATAATTGTCCTGCATTATTATAAAGAGTTTTCAGGAAGTTAAATCCCATGTTGTTTTTTTCTTCGGCTCTGTGTGTATACTTGAGATGCTTAGATTCATCCCATATAAAATAAACTCTCCAGAGGCACTGGGTTCCCCTGGGCGACCCTCTTTCCTGGAGGGTTGCCACGTTCTCCGTGTGACCTGTCTCAGCATTCCTCCCAGGCTCTCAAGATTGGTGGTGATTTCACCTCTGATGACTTAGTGGGAGACAAAGGGCACCTGGACACTGGCGCCGAGATGGATGCTATGTTCCTGGCCTCAGGCCCCTCCCCCTGGGAACTTCCTGTCTCTGTGGGCTCCAGTCCTCTGCCTCCCTCCTGTCTCTGGGGCTACTGGTTGTTTCTTTTCTCATCCCTGCCATCCATTCATTTGTGTGTATATATATATATATATATATATA